CACAGGTGAACTTCACAACCCAGTAGTCAAAAGCACTCTTCCCTTGGGTTTAGCCCTGTCAGCTTCCCAAAGATGTCATTAACACAATGTAGCAGAAAGCACAGTTCCTTGGGGTCTGCCACAAGCTTAAAGGAAAGTGAGGCCTGTTAAAATGTATTATTTCAGGCTTTAGAGGACATCACTGACGTGAAACAAATCTCCAGACACAGAACCACAGGGAGAAAGCTCCACAGATTCACAAACAGCTGATAACATTAGAGTTGTTCAGAAAACACTACTACCATGCATGACATGATACCAGACACTTCAGGAGTGTAGTCACATATATACGTATGTGTGTATATATACATAGCAAAAAAATCTAAAATATTGCTAGCATTTTAAATCTTCAGGAACAGAAGTAATACTTCCATGCTCATTTAAAAAGAAAATGTCATCTTTCACAGCTATCTGAAATCACAAACTCTCTCTTGCGAGTCTTTGCTGTACAGCTCCATGCAGAAAGCATTTCTGGTGTCATCCCTTGACACATCAGGCTATGGGCTCAACAAATGGGTATTATTCTCTTTTAATTATTTTCTAATACTGTGTGGTATGGAAAGCAACAGAGCAATAGCATTCAATACCGGAGAGGAGTCCTCAGCTTTCTGCGATATGTGTGTCAGGGAAGACAGAGGCTTCTGGCTGCCAACTCTCACTTCTGCTGTGCCACGTTACCTGCAGCGTGAGGCTCCTGCGGCGCGCACACCTCCCACAACCGTGTCTGCTGAGCAAATGCCCATTTACAGATAAAACAACATTTAAATGCTGTTGTCCTGCCTGTGCAGTGATCTACAAAGCATCAGGAGAACTCTTTGTACATTGTTCTTGCAATGAAATGTAATTTTCAGTGTAGCTGGCACCAAGACTAAAGTTCAGCCAATGCACAGATTATTCCCTTACTGGAAAGGCTTTGGAGCCTGGGAGGAAAATTCACTTTGATCTATAGTGGCTCTCAGAAACCTCACGTAAAGTGGAAGACAGAATGATTTCCCACTTAAAAATTCTCTCCAGAAGAAAAACTAAGCTAGCACAAGAAATTCAACTCTGATCCGGTTTGAATCTGTTAAGAACGGAGATTATGAAAGCATATCCTTCTATCAAAACCAGGGCTGTTACTATGGTGGGACCTCCAGTGTGGCTCAGGGTAAGGCACGCCCAGGCATACTGAAGGCTCCTCCACGTAATCAGCTTTAACACTCAACTAATTCATGCTGATCACCACTAGATCCAAGGAGCTGTCAATCCTCCCTGGTACAAGGCTAGCTCGAAGGTATTTGGTGCAGCTTCTAGCCATAATTAAACCTTATTTACAATGGCAGGTTCTCCTTGATACAGACAACCTCAAAGTTTGCATCTAGAGAAATGTATGCTACCAACGATCAATGGGAGTTTACTGAGAAAGATCTTAGCCATTCCTTATCAGCAGCCAAATGGTATTTCCCAATTTTGTGTAGTTTTGATTGAATAGATCGCCTCATATATTTTTCCTATTCCCGTGGTTTCACTGTTCAACGTGTACTTGATCAAAGCTTCATCCTGTTTTGCACATGTATTACAAAACTAAACAGAAATCCTGAGACTACTGTATCAGATTATTGGTACATCAGACCTACCACCTCGCATGAAACCTCAAGCTGCTTCTCTTGGAGATGCATGATTTCCATTTTATTTCGTAAATACGTTTTTTTTCAAAGAGATTATTCACACTTTTAAGTACAAGTGGGAAAAGAATTCACATTATCAGATCCCAAGTGTGACAACAACAACTTGCAGCTTGCTCATTCATCAACGGCTCTAAATGCTGGTCCAATTCTGAGAACAGATTCTGTATTATAAACCTTGGCTATTTTATTGAGGCCTATCACAGTAATGGAACCTGAGAACGGTTATTATAAGCAGCTGCTGTAACAGAAGCAGAGAATCAGTGTATATTGCCGTTTAAAAACTCACAAATGTTTAAAGCAATAGAAGTCAGGAAACACAAGCTTAAAAGAGAAACGTTCTTAAAACTGAAAGATCAATCTCTTTCTTAATCTATTATATACAATCACTTAAGCCATTATTAAGCATAAATTAACATCAGTTATAACAAGGAAGAAACACATGTGGTGTGCTGGGTTGCATCTACCCTGGCTATGCAGATATGTGAAGAACACCAATGACAGAGAGATCCAAAAGCATGTAGAGAATCTCTCTCTGACTTCCACATGATAATAGCTGTAACAGCATACATACAGCGTATTTTAGTTTCATTTACATAATAACGGGAAATGATACAATAGAAAATCAAAAAGCTGTTTAAGAATTTTAAACTGTTACTCACATTAGATTTTGTTCACTTCTGACTATTACTTCTTAGCATTTTGTGACTTTCCCACTACAATGGAATCAATCCCCTAAAAGCCTCAAGCTGCAGCCTGGACTCTTACATGCTATGGACATGTAGCTATGACTAAGAACAACGGCAACAGATACAACACAGATTAATACACCTTTTGGTGCAAGTTGTGTATTTTAGAAGAGAACTACAGCACAAAAGGATTAGCGTGTAGGTGGACTGTACCACACACCATTTTCAGAACACCACCCTTTGTTACAAGAAAACCACCACTGTTGGACGGTGAAAATGTGAACTATGGGAAGACTTTGTGGAAAAGTCTTTCATTGGTTGATCTCTTCTTTTCGCAGCTGTGGAAGTGCTCACTGCATGGGAGTTAATTGTATTAGTTATCTGGTGTAACAACCTGGTTAACTTTGTACTTCAGCGCTATTAACTACCGCACTGTACATGATTCAGTGGAGAACGAACGACTCTAATCCTTCTGTTCAAATGCAAAATCAAACAATAATCCTTTGTTTAATAAGTTTTAAATGGATAACCTAAACTCTTCATGATGCTTAGAGTCATTAGGAAGGCACTCACTGAAAATATTAGGTAAGGATAACTAGACACTTCCATTAGAAAGCCTAATTAATTAGGATTTTAAAATTAACTCTGATTTACAATGGACCATAAAACTATCCAGTCTGAATTGTATCTTTTTATTTGAAGGTTTGTGAAAGACAAAATTAAAGAAACAGTATCAATAAATTATCCCTTGTTATTTCAACACTGTTCTCAATACTTGCAGCTGTAATTTAAAAAAAACTGGCAGGCCTTAAAACTCATCCTGGGGTGTATTTATCTTGGCATTTCTAACACAGAAATAATTATAAGGATAGGGAAGAGAAAAGAAAATGGGAGCATACAAAAGCTTTACAAAAGCCATACAAAAATAGGTTTATATGATATACCTATCACTATCACTTTTTGCACTATAACTCATAGTGTAAAAAGGCCTCATTGACAGACACTGATTTCTGCTATTAGAAGTCTACTTAATTTCCACAGAAAAAAACACTCACTAAAATTCTACCACAATAAATGAGATGAAGCCCCAAAGAGGAATATATTGTTTTCAAAATTTCATGTTCTATAAATAAGGAGGAAATCTCATCCCAATAAATGAGAAGCATAATAATTTAAGAAAGCAAAACCCTAAAACTGGCCCAGAAGCTGTTAGCTTAAAATACACAAGCTGGCGAACAAACAAAGCAATTGGACACGTCACAGGAACCGCTCAGATCTGCTGCTCCTTGCATACATTGCAGCACAGCCATTTTTCCACAGCACAGAATTTTCAGAGTATTAGCCAAGTGGGCAGAATAACAAAATATTTCACAGAAAAAGAGACATTTTTATATCACAATCAAATAAGGTCTTGTTCTAGAGAGATATTTTTCCTGAGTCATTCCTAAAAGCAGTTGCTAAATTCCCTGATGTCCCAACAAGAGATACAGTACAAGCCAGTCTGAATAAAATGAAGAATAATTTTATAAACACATCGTAAAAGATTTACTTTCCCTCCCCATGGGCCAAAAAAGAAACCCAAATAAATACAACTGCATTTGAAACAAACGGCTACTAACAAAATAACGTTTAAAAGCAAGGGTATGCTCATGCTTCCCTTCTAAATCTTCAGTCAGAAGCAAACCAGAGATTGCCATGTTGGGGGAGGAAGCTGTTCTTACGCCACTTTCACCAATGGCCACCTCACAGTACCAGGAGCTACTTTGGCTATTAACTCAGTGAGCACTAGCTTCCCTGAATAAACTCACTCCACAGCAGCACAGCTCCCAGCAGGCATTGGAGCAAACAAAACCCTTTGTCAGGGAGTCAAGAACAGTTGTTCTTCAGCCTTTTGAAAGGGAATCACCAAACCCAGAGCACAATGGGAAAAAGAGCAAGTTAAAAACCAACCAAAAAAAAAAAAAAAACCCCGACACCCCAAAACCACAACCCTAGAAAGAAAAATGTGCAAATGATGGTTTATGCTTGATACAAATTACCTCTTCCTATTGGTAATCTGTGTCACCAGTCCTATGAGCTACCCATACACCTTACGAAGGGCCCAACCAGGCTGCAGAAGCAGTAGGCAAGGACTCCTCTTGAACTGGAGTATAAGCATGATTTGTGATTTCCCATTCTGTTTCTCACCTCATTCCCTACCCTAGTTCTTCTTTACATGTATACCTCACAAAAAAATATTTGCCACTGACATTACAATATTAGCATAGTATTAACAAAGCACCAACCAGAGTCATCGGTTTTGATCACCTGCAAAGTGAGGATGCCAAATTGGCTGGATTTCCATTGACTTACATTTGGAAAGCTTTTTTCCACAATTGTATAAAAACCTTTCTGCAGATTATTTGAAAAATATTAATTGAAAAAAAAATAGGATCTGAACTTACTACATAGTCTTCAAGAACGTATCAAGTAAACTGTAGCTTGTGGACTACGTTTCTGATCCTTGGCTCTATCAGTAATTTAATTCCTGACACAAAGAAATATGTGAACATTTATCAATCAATCCTTCGTTGTCTCAGGCACATTACTTCAGCAATAAAGAACTCACCAGAAATATCCTTTCAAGTTGATCTTGAATGTCTTTCATTCCTGGAAAAGCAGCGACCCCTTGAATCATCTCTACAAAGATACAACCCACTCCCCTACAGAGGGAAACAAAAAGTATGCAACATTAGAAAGATTTCTTACCAATTAAATGGCCAGCAACAACGCTTTCATATCCAGTATTTGGATAATATTTACGTATTTGTTTTTTAAAAATCAATGCCAGGCTGAAGGACAAGCATGTGCATTTACTAAAACCATTGTATACATATGAATACTTCTCAGGTTTTTGAAGGCAAGTGCAGAGGTAGTAGGAATATGGGTGGCAGCTGTTCAGACAACAAAGACACAGCAGCTGCTTTCTGTGTGTATGAGCGCTTCGCGAACAGCACACTCATGCTCCTAAATAAATTCTGCGGACGTAGGAATGGCAGAGAGAGTGCACCCTTGGGAGAGGTTGAATGGGGACAGGACTGCAGCATGGAGGCAGGCTGGAAGGGTTTGGCTGGTTTGGGAGAAGAGTCTGGAAAAAAATGTCTGAAAAGGAGAAGGGCACGCAGCTGCTCACAGCCACTGAACTAAGCTACTGCCCAAATGCAGATGACTTCTAGGATGTGCTTGCTTAGGCTTTCTTCTCCCCTCTTCCAGTATAAAAGAAGGAAGCACAATGCTCACAGCTCGGGGGGGCTGCTGACCCTATCCCCCAGAAGCCCTGTTGGAGAGCACTGCGACAGGCTGAGCAGCCACAGGCTCCCTCCTCTCCCCACCGTGACAGCCACCCCATTACAGCTCCTGTCCCTGGTCTCTCATGAACGGTACTTCACGAGTCCCTCTCATCCCACTCAGTTAAGCCACTGCAGAAGTGCTGGGAAATCAGAGGGAAAAAAAATAATATCTGAGACATACTAACTACAGCACAAAGAATGGATCTCAAAAGTTGAGGAAAGTTTCTGTGACTCTCTAACTCCAATTTCAGATGACCTGTGGACTTCCTGCATCTGAGAAGCACAACAAATTACAGACTTGCATTTGCACCTTTTCTGGACAAAGAGAGCTCAAGAGTTGCTTGTTCCCTCAGCTAAAACAATTTTAAAAGAAAACATTCCCCTTCACTACCAATAGGATGCAGAATTTAATTATGTATTTTAACTTGTTCAATTGCATTTTTCTACAACTTCCACATGCAAACACCTACATATGCTGTGTAACCATGTCTGTAAGTAACCAGACAAAAAAAACCTTCACCCAAACCAAATGCCAATTCAATAACCCAAAACGTATATCAAAATGAATCTACAATTTGCAAAACTAACTATGGCACCACCTCCCTGAAATTGTGAGTTGTGTTTGTGTCGGAAAATCCCAGCAATAACCCCTAATTTAACTTTGGTTTTAGAAGTAAATTATTTGGAACGTAGTAATTACATACCTTTTCATTGCTTATGCACCGTGATGATGCATCCAGAAACTAGCATTTAATTTTAAGAATATGTGTGCATACATTGGTGAGGAAGTGGTTCTAGAATAAAATAACTTAATGAAAATAGATTGCATATTTTCATTGAGGCTGGGGCTGAGTATTTATAGATACCACTTAACTAAGATTATCAGCAGCCAATCCACGCTTTATTCATCTCTGAAGGCTTTGACTACTACTGAATAACGAAATAATTGTACATTCCAGGACAATGGGAGTTGATAGTCAAATTTCTTGAAGAAGAAAATTAAACATATACCACTATTTTCTAATTTTATGTCTCAAAGCATAGTTATATTAAGCAAAGTTTCTCCTTAGGCATTGAAAAGTGGAATAAAACTTTGGAAAGCACAGTTCTGGTCAAATTTCAGAATAATTCAGGTACTTATAAAAGACAAGTTAAAATTTATGTTCCATATGCTTCTGCTGGTTATCAAATGAACTGAATTGATTAAACTGCCATTCATCATTTAGTCTGGTTAGTGCTTCATTAGGCACAAACAGGCACACTATATCTTAGTCAAATACTTATAAACAGTACCAGGATCTCAGGCAACGAAAAATTCAAGTTTTCAGTCGAAGTCATTTATTCAAGATAAGAAATAAAACAATTGAATTTAGACTCAATAAAAGAGAATTAGAGTTCTATTCTTGCAAGCAGAAAACAGGCATTTGATTAAACCAGTGTATCATTTGAGGGCTCGTACCATCTGCAGAGAAACTTCAGCTAGCTGTTTGAACAGAAATGCTATAAAGGCAACAGGAAGAATTTCCCAAATTTTGTATTGTTTCACGTAATCTATTCACAAAATTTTCCACAGTTAGTGGGTCTGACACAAGTATGCACAAGAAACCAAGTAAGAACTGCAAACATCACTACTGAAGAATTATTTACTGCTTGGAAAGAAGAATCCTATTACACGTCTTGGATTCTTGTGTAACCTAGTACTCCATTCAGTCACAAACTGAGAGTGAAAGAGTACTGGAGTTAAATAAACAAATAATACAAAAATCAAAGGATTATTAAAATTCTTGAGGAGAGAAACATAAATAACCTTCAGGGTTTGAGCTGGAGGACTGCTGTTCCCTTTGGCTTACTTGAAAATTAAGCTTATGCTCAGTTTCAAAGCTCATGGTGTTCAGCATATTGAAGAGTAAGTCCATAGAAAGAGAAGATTAAATGAATACTGGAAAAAAAAAAAAAAAAAAAAAAAAGTATGACATTGAACTGATACAAAATATCCAGAAAGCTGTAATAGCCCATAAAGGCTTCAAGATGGCTGGATGGTATTTTAGATGTCTTAGTACTATCAGTGAATTTTAGGCTCAAAGCAAGTATAAACTGAGTATAAAAGAGGATCTCTGAATCACAAACCCTAAGTGCACAGACACTGAACATGGAAAAGAACAAAGCCTCTACAAGGCCTTGCAATTTAGTCTTGTTTTTGTAGACCTCACAAACTACTAAACAGGTTAGAGAGATTTTTGAGCGAAGCAAAAATTATGTCCGTGCCAGAAAAACTAGTTTGTATGGAAAAATCAAGCGAACAATGTCATTCTTGGCTACAAGAAAACACAAGGGACAGGAAGAACATGATAACTCTGTTTTTAAAACTATGCAAAATGAAGGACAAGGAAGAACTTATCAGGATATTAATCGTTCCCAGAACTGCAGGTAGATCCAAGACAGTATAACTGAAAATAGCAGAATGCCTTTAGGAAATAAAAATTTTAGGGTGAGTGTTAGAGAAAGGCACGTAACAACTGTGCTACACCCCAGCCCCCAACAGACCTGAAGCTCCACAGATACAGTCATGTAAAACTGGACAAGCTGAAACACTTAAAAATATTCTCCAGGGAACAGACCTGCATTAACAGTAGGGTGGATAAGATGATCTCACAGACCACTCCTATCTCTAGATTCTATGACACAAAGATTATTTCTTGAAATTTGAAATACAATCAATTAACTTGGCTTTAATGTGCATGCATCTTCAAGGGTATGTTATTTATGTATCACACTCAGCATACAATGCCATTTTCAGGCAGCACTTGAGACACAATTTGTGACAAAAGAACATTAGCCTAATGTATTTCAGTGTAGTCAATTCAGTTTTTCCTATTTTCTTTACAGGACTTCTAATTTTGAATAAATAAGCCAAATGCTGTGACTTCGCTCACAGATCTTTCCAATGGAATGGCATAGGATAATCTTGCAAAGTAAAAGGGACAGCCATTTAATGTTGAAACCCTCTGATGACAAAAAGCATGACTAAACCTATTGATGTATTGATAGGACCATATGTGGCTATACCATCTAATACTGCTCTTCTATTGTCCTGCTTAATTTCCTGAGACTCTGGCTGTCACCATACAGCCTTACAGAGTACGAGTTAGTAGCACAGCTAAATGAGTTACTCTTGCATTGAACTGACATAGTAAATGAGCCTGTAAACATGAAGTTCGATGCCTCGGGAAACTGAGTATTTTTTTTCTGCGTAGCTTTTATAATTCAAGAGGGTATTCCCTTAAAATTAACTTGCTTACTGTTAGGTTGGGTTTATATTTTTGGTTTGAGAATTCACATTCCTGTCTCTGTAACAAAGATCCTTACTGTGACAAAAGTAATCTCCAGCCTATCTGTACTCGAATGCTTGAAAAAAAATAACATAAAAGCTTTGGTGAGGCATAATCTGTAAAAGATTATTAGGGCTACTTCCTTCAGTTAATATTCCAATTTTTCTTGATGGATCCATAAGAGAGACTGCAGACACACTCTGAAATGAGGAGTTGTTTCCAAACCAAGCTGTAGTTTACACTTAAATCAAGATTATAGAAAGCCTATATGCTACTATGTATGTTCTAAACCATTGAAGTTCATGCCCTGAACGGATCTGCCTTCTAGCAGGCTCAGTGCAGGTGATAACATTCAGCATGTTCTTCACAGTGAAGACCTACGCTGGCTCTTCACATGAGGTTTCTATCTGGCCAGGAAGCCTGTCTCCAGCATGCAGGATTTGGCTTCAGAGGGGGAAGGGTTTTATGAGAACCAAGTAATTGCTTCCAGCAATCTTCCTGATGAGATTTCTGAAATTCAGAGGAACAGTAGAGTTTTCATTGAGGTTTCCCAAACTACATGCACTTTGTACTGACAAATATGTTAGAATTCAAACAAAAACAATACACACACACCCCCAATCAAAACCCAACTAATTGTTTTTTTATGGATTTGTCACCAAGAGGTAATATTGGAACCCCTTCCATAAAATCTACTAGTAATATGCAAAATGTTGGAAGGGCACAGAGATTTTTATCTTGTCTGATTTATTCAGAAAACAAGTGATGCTCCTATATGATCCTACTTACGAACAGAACTACGAAAACAAATTTTACAGGAAAGGAATGAAAAGCAAGGGACTTTTGTCTCCTTAACTGACCAAAATCTGATTTAATTCTAAAGTGGCACACTGCCAGAATACCCGCAGACACTGAACTTGGTTGGAATTTGTCTTTCACAATGACTCCACTCTGATATGCGAAAAGTAACATACAATGTGAGATACAGTCTGATCAAAGAACAGGGACAATAAGGCAAGCAGATTACCGTCCTCACATGAGAAG